GGGAGGTGGCTCAGTGCCAGCTCACACGCTTCACACGGAGGATGACCCTCGTCACGCCCCGGCACCAGCCAGTGAGCAAAACACCGCCCCAGGGGGGTCCGGGTGCAAAGAGTTCTTATTCCCCTCCACTGCGACAACATGGTGCCAAAGCCAGCGAGGCAGGACCGCGGGGATGCCAGGGCTGTGTACAGCAATGCTCCGCATGGGGAATGCCCATTTTGAAACTCGAAGGCAGGGCAGGAATTACAGGACAGTGGGTAGGGCGCTTCCCTGGCACGCGGCCGACCTGGGCTCGATCCCTGGCACCCCACATAACCCTTTGGGTACTGCCAGAAGTGAGCGCTGAGTGCAGAGCCAGGAGTGAGCCCTGGGCACTGCTGGGTATGGCCCCCAAAATAAACAAACCAAAAATTAAAATATGGCACGTCCTTCTCTCCTGGACGGGAGCATAGCATGATGCTCACCATAACCAGACCACGGGACCCTGGGTCAGGCTGTTTCACTCGGGGTGCCCTGGAGCGGGGCAGGTGAGACCCCTCCCCACCCCGAGGGACCCAGCCCTGGCAGCTGAAAACCTCCAGAGCTCAACTGCTCCCACACTCAAGGCCACTCCCCGCACGCTCGGGCCGAGACTGACCCACAAGCGAATCTATTCCTGGACACTTCATATCACACACCCTACGCCTACTCCAAGGGAACCGCACCACGTTTGATGGAGTTCAAAGTAGGAGGCGACCGATCGTAGATAAAAGCACACAAGGCTCAACCTCTAACAACATGTTAGTGCTCTCTTTTAGAAGGGCTTAATGGCCCCTGGGCGAAATACAACAATCTCCAGACTCTTCCCTCCAAGGATACATTTTTGTAGCATTTTCAGCGGTTTTTCATAACAAACAATACAGAATATGTTATTTTGGTTCCACTTTGGGGCAGGGATTGGGGATCGGGATGGAATCATTCCAAATATGGGAGTGGAAAGGTATGATGGTGGTGGGATTGGTGTTTGAATATTAAATGTGATGAAATACTGTGAACTATTTTATAAAATAAAAAATATATAAAAAAAATTAAAATAAATACTTGCTTTGGTGTCACGTATACGAAAATTAAAAAAAAATAAAGACTAATGATATAACAGTCATGGAATCGTTAAGGCTGACATGTTCATTATAAACATGTTAGGATGTTACGAAGTCACAAAAAAACCCTACAGTGCTCATGAGAGCAAGCCTCATCGATCTTGTACTATTTTTTTGTTTTCTGTGTATATAAGTCCTATTTTGCATGATCTATCGAGAATATTTTTTTAATTAATTTATTTATTTATTGAATCACTGTGGGAAAGGTTACAAAGCTTTCAGGTTTAGGTCTCAGTCATGCAAATATCAAACACATTTCCCTTTACCAATACTTATTTTTTACCATGAAGAACCCCAAAAAGACCCCACCCCCCACCCCTCCCAGTCCCTGTGAGGCAGATGAATTCTAGTTAACACTCTATCTGCTTTGATTAGATTCATTGTTTCAATAAAAGATTCACCACTATTATTTAGAGTTTACCCCCCCCCCCCCAAATCAGACATGCTGAAAAAGCATTGTGAAGTGATTTGCTTTCTAGAGCTGGGTTCAAGAATTAAATGTTGGTTTTGGATTTCTGCTATTTTACCTATTGACCCTGGAAGTATTTCTACTGAAAGTCAGATAGTTAAGAAATTGGTTTCTGTGCTCTGGAGTCGTGGCCGTGCTGGAGAGCCGCTCGCGGGGGGCAACTGGTGGCCTCGGTAGGGCGTGAAGGGCGGAGCGAAACGCCCCCCTTCCCATGAGGTTTTAGTCGCCCCCACACCCCCGGTATCGAGAATATTTTCTCTACGTGTGGTGGTAGGGACTGAACTCAGGGCTGTCCTCGCGTGAGCCTTATGCCCCACTGCTGAGCTAAATCCTCAGCCTCTAGGAGCTTATAGGATGTTTACGGTTTTTTTTTTTGGGGGGGGTCACACCCAGGGGTTTTTAGGGTCAACTCCCAGGGAAATGATCTGAGGACCATGTGGTGGCAGGGTCCAATTCCAGGGGTATTTTAGGCTGTCTATGGCCATGCCACCCTGAATGCGCCCAATCTCTTCTGATCTCGGAAGCTAAGCAGGGTTGGGCCTGGTTAGTACTTGGATGGGAGACCGCCTAGGAATACCGGGTGCTGTAGGGGCTGGAGCGATAGCACAGCGGGTAGGACGTTTGCCTTGCACGCAGCTGACACCGCCGACCCGAGTTCGATTCCTCCGCCCCTCTTGGAGAGCCCAGCAAGCTACCGAGAGTATCTCGCCCGCACGGCAGAGCCTGGCAAGCTCCCCGTGACATAGTCGATATGCCAAACACAGTAACAACAAGTCTTACAATGGAGACGTTACTGGGCCCGCTCGAGCAAATCGATGAACTACGGGAGGACAGTGACAGCCCTGACTGCATTCAGACCCACCTACGCAGTCTGAGTCTTTGCATCCTCCCAGTCCTAAAAGCTTATCACTTATGTTTTGGGGGGCATGTGGTTTTGGGGTTTGAATTTGTGTCCTGCCTCCAACTACACACACACACACACACGGTTCTTGGGCCACACTTGGCAGTGCCTAGGACTGACTCCTGGCTCTGTGTGTGCTTAGGGATCACACGTGGCAAGTCCTGGGAGGACCACATGGGATGCCCGGAATCCAATCCAGGCCCAGACACATACAAAGCAAGCATCTTACCCATTGTATGATCTCTCCAGCTCCTACTTATTATTGTTTGCTTTTCGGTTTGGGGGTCACACCTGGTGTTATTCAGGGTTTATTCCTGCCTCGGCTCACGGCTCACTCTTGATGGGGCTCTGGGGAGCATATGGGATGCCGGGGATTGAGCCTGGGTTGGCCGCATGCATGGCAAGTGCCCTGCCAGTTGTACGTTGTACTATCTCTGCAGCACCCCCCCATCCCTACTTATAGCACCGCGGTAGGGCGTTCGCCTTGCACGCAGCCAACACGGCCAACCCGAGTTCGATTCCTCCGCCCCTCTCGGAGAGCCTGGCAAGCTGCCGAGAGTATCTCGCCCACACGGCAGAGCCTGGCAAGCTCCCCAGGACGTATTCGATATGCCAGACACAGTAACAACAAAGTCTCCAATGGAGACGTTACTGGGCCCGCTCGAGCAAATCGACGATCAACGGGAGGGCCTTTACCTTTACCTTAAATTTTAATTGAAAAGTTTTATTTATTTATTTATTGTTTTTTGGGTCACACCTGGCAAGGCTCAGGGGTTACTCCTGGCTCACGCACTCAGGAATTCCTCCTGGCTGTGCTCGGGGGACCATAGGGGATGCTGGGAATCGAATCCGGGTTGGTCGCGTGCAAGGCAAATGCCTTACCCACTGTGCTCTCACTCCAGCCCCCTACTTATTTTTTAAATAAAAAACCATCAGGTGCTTTTCCTTGCCTTATTTTGAAATGAGCCTTTCCCACATTATTACTTGAACTTCAGCATGTGTTTTGCTCAAAACCATGTATTTAACCTAAAATATTTAGGCTGTTTCCCAGTTCTGATTCTCGTAAGGCTGGGGGAGAGAGAACGTTACGTGGTTATTATTACCCTTTTCTTCTAGGGTGGGTCATACATGGCTATGCTCGGGGCTTAGTCCTGGTCCTGTAAGCAGGGATCACTCCTAGAGTGATCAGGAGAAAATCCACATTGGCCATCTGCAAGGCAAGCACCTTACCTGCTGATGTATTTTTTTTTTTTAATAGAAAAGACCATTTTTTTTCTCTTCTGAAAACATGCCACTTTTTTTTTTCTGGCTACAACTCCCAGAAGATTAATAGCAGAGCACAGGTGGCCTGATTTCAATAAACATCAGCTTAAGTTCTCACTGACCTGTACGACGGGGAACCCTAAGAAATAATTGCAAAGTCAATATTGAAAAATCTATAAACAGAACACTCAGGAGTGCCCAGCCATTATGCTAATTTCATGTTTAAATCGTTCCTCCTTTCTGGAGGATCTCCCCTTTCATCGTCAGGCCAAGTTTTAAATGCTGAAACCTGTTATTTTAAACTTAAAAGGAAAAGCTCGCCAGCACTAGGTGACGCTCAAGTCCAAGAGCTGACTGAGCTCAGAGACCAGCTCGGAGCCAGACGATGCTGCCCCAAGAGGTCAGTGGGGGGGAAGGCAGCACACCCTTAGACCTGGCTCTGCTAGACCCCAGCATAAGCGGCTGCCCCAGCATTTGGAAGTCCAGAACCAGCCTGTGGAAACCAGGCGAGACTCTTAGCATCCAAGGCAGATTGATGTCTGAGGGGCCGGGATCCAACCTAGAGCGTGCCAAGACGTGCTGGCCAGCTGAGATATGTCCTCAGCGTCACAGACTTGCTTTCAGTTCATATAATCCATGCAGAATTCCCCACTTGTGAAGTCAAGAGCTGGATGTGCCTGTCCTGTTAGCAGGTCCAGGGATGTGCTTGAGAAATATGAGGTTCCAACCCCTCGCCCCCCACTTCCACCACCTCCATATATTTTGGATGACGGAATCATTCCTTCATCTTCGAAGGAAAGAAACCCTTCCTGCAAACCCAATCTCTCCCATCACACAATGGTACAGATGCAAGGACCTGTCTTTGTTAAATAAGAATTTGTTAAAGGGGGGTAGGGGTTTATTGGGGTTCTTCGTGGTGAAAAATAAGTTTTGGTAAAGGGAAATGTGATTGATATTTGCATGACCGAGACCTAAACCTGAAAGCTTTGTAACTTTTCCCACAGCGATTCAATAAACAAATAAATAAAAAGAAAATAAAATATTTTTTACACTATAAAAAAAAAAGAATTTGTTAATTTTGGGGTCCCACTTTGCAGTGCTCCCGAGATTCCTGGGCTCAGGGCTGGCTCCTGCAGAGCTCAGGGGGACGGTGAGGTGCCAGCAGGGGGGTGGGACAGTGGGACAGGGGTCCCTACACACAACGGAGCAAGGCCAGAAGGTGACTCACGATCACTTCCCGGAAGGACTCCTGGTCGCTGATTGTCTTGTCTTCCATATAACCGGACTGGTTCAAGTAGTGGTAATTCTCTGGTACAGATAAATAAAATTCTTCTGCAGGAAGAGAGAGCAGAAGATCACGTCAGATCTCCACGGCTGAGGCTAGACAGAAGCTATGAGTTTTCACTTTGTGGTTCTGTTGTGATTGCTCTTGGGGCACACCTGGCGAAGCTCAGGGGTGATTTCTGGCTCTGCACTCAGGAATCACTCCTGGCGGTGCTCAGGGAGCCAGTTAGGGTGCTGGGGATCGGACTTGGGTTGACTTTGTGCAAAGCAAGCCCCTCCCTACTGCACCATCGCTCTGGGCCCTCATTTTGTGATTTTAAAGAAATAAACCACCCAAATAATTCCATGGTCCCAACATCCCCTGTTTTTGTTTGTTGAAATTTATTGAATCACTGTGAGATAGAGCATTACAAAATTGTTCAAGATTGCGTTTTAGTCATACAGTGTTTCGACACCCATCCCTCCACAAGTGTAATTTCCCAGCACCAGTTTCCCCAAGTCTCCCTCCCACCTCTTCAAGCCACCCCTACCCGGGCCTGTCTCTATGGTAGACCCCTCTCCTTTCTTTCTCTCCCCCCCCTCTCTTTTAGGCATTATAGTTTGTGATACAGATGCTGAAAGGTTATCATGTATATCACTTTACCTGCTTTCAACACTCAGCTCTCGTCCAGAGTGACCATTTCCAAGTAGTATTTTCATAACGGCCCCCCTCTATCTCAACCACCCTCCATCCCCCACACCACTGCCCCACCATTGACCAGTCCTCCTGGCCCATTTTCCCTGGCCTTGGATATTATGTTTGTTTTTTTGTTTTTAACCTGCTACCCAGCAAAATTGGCATCACTTTATTGACCGAAATGGGAGAGTAGAAATGTTACTAAAACAAGAATGAGAGGAACCTGGTCACATTGCTTCCTCTTAAAAATCCAATGGTTAGAGATTAGCTTGTGGGGCTGTACTTTCACATTGAACCAGGGGCCAGAGAGGGCGATTACGGGGGGAAGGCACAAGCCCCTCATGATGTGATCCAGGCATCACGTGGCCCCCCTGCACCCCAAGGCCTGAGCAGCCCCACAGCCTCTGACCCTCGTGATGAGATGTCCAGGAAGGTCTCTAGGGGACTGGACAGCACGTGGGAGCCTGCCAAGGCCCTGCCACCAAGTTGTGTAACTAGATGCAACACATTCATCACACAGGCATCAGTGATCTACAGCCCACTCAGCTACTGCCGTGGCTGTCAGTGCTGGTCCATGGCCTGGTGTGCACGACAGGTACCAGTCCACAGGTGTAAAAAGGGTAAAGATCACTGATTCATTCTCTCTCTCTCTCTCTCTCTCTCTCTCTCTCTCTCTCTCTCTCTCTCTCACACACACACACACACACACACACACCCCTGGTGTGTAGCACAGGTACCAGTTCATAGGTGTAGAAAGGGTGAAAAGAAAAACTTTTTTCTTCTTTCTTTCTTCTGGGGTGTTGTGGCAGGGGGTGGATCAGTGTTCACACCCAGCAGTGTTTGGCACTCACTCTGTTCCACACTCAGGGATCAATCCTGGTGGAGCTCAGGATCTCACATGGGGCGGGGGTGGGGGGGGTGTCAAACCCAGGTCAGCCACATGCAAGGCAACCATCAAGATTCTTCTGTGGCCGATTCCCCGCCACCTCCTCCCACCATGCTGTTCTGTTCTAAACCTACCTAGACCTTTTGTTTCAACCAGTGAAATATCACTAAAAGCCAAGCAGACGCCTCCCGTTTCCCAGTGGTTTTCAGGGGAAAGTGCATCTTGACAGGCTGTGCTTCCATCTGTCCACTCACCTTTCTCCTGGGGTCCCAGCCCTGCCAGCAGCGCATAGAATATGTGATAATTCCTCTCCCCCGGATTTTGCCTGACGACTCGGTTCTGCCAAGAGAAACAAGATGTTTCTTTGGAGCGGCTTCCTCTGCCCAACCAACAGGCCCGATCGCTTCCCCAAATGGGGGTGTGGAGGGAAAGGCCACGAGATCCTGGGCACTTACTTTTTCTAATAAATCTTCATGTGAAAAGCAAGGGCCAGTCAAGGAACAGAACGATGAGCTTGGCATTTTCCACCCTACCTGGATCCAGAGAACCGAAGTTCCCGGAACCCCTGATACCAGGACTCCCGGAGCCCCACGAGAAGCAGAGAAAGCGTTGAGTCTTCCCATGAACCATGACGACCTGACGGGGTGCTCCCGGGCGGTTATGGGGCTGCACTGGCCACAGCACTGCAGGAAGGAAACCCCAACGCCCCCAAACCTGCCTGCATACCTGAGACATGGCGCTCGCCAGAGAGGGGACCAGGTGACCGAACTGATCTGGGACTCCAGATTTTGGTGAGGCAACCAACTTGGCACACAGCTAGCTTGCCATGAATATGCTGGTTTTTTTTGGGGGGGAAAGGGGGATTGGGGTCACACCCAGCGATGCTCAGGGGTTACTCATGGCTCTGCACTCGGGAATTACTCCTGGCGGTGCTCGGGGGACCATATGGGATGCTGGGAATTGAACCCGGGTCGACCGCGTGCAAGGCAAACACCCTACCCACTGTGCTATTGCTCCAGCCCCGTAAGGGAACATTCTGAGCTCTGGGAATAAGTGCGAGGTTCAGCCTGGCCACCTCAGAGTCAGTGGCCAGTAGAAGCTGAGAGATATAGGCCCTGGGGGGGGGGGGCGCGCAGTCCTGGGGGGCAAGACAGGAAGCAGGATACAATCGACCACCTTCCCGCCCTGAATATTTCCCTTCTCGCAGATGTTCAGCTGCACGAACTTCCCGAAGCGGCTGGAGTTGTTGTTGTACACGGTCTTGGCGTTGCCGAACGCTTCCATGATGGGGCTGGAAGAAAGGCAGGGCAGGGGGGTGTGCCGATGAGTCCCGAGCCCCACGCCTCGGGACGTGACGCCAGGCAAAGTCCGCGATCTGGGGGTACCTCTGGGTGGGCTGGATGGGACAGCCCGCGGCGTCGTTTCCAACTTCTGAAGATCTTATTTCTTGGGTTTAATTTCTTTCTTTATTTTTTTAAATTAATTTTTAAAATTATATATGATATTTTATTTTAAAATGTCATTGAGCTAAAGCGAAAGTAATGGTTTTAAGTTAATTTTTTCCAGAATAATTTTAATTATTTTTTTAATTCTAATTTTTTTTTTCCATGGAGTCACCGTGAGATACACAGTTACAAGGCTGTTCATGATCCGGCCTCAGTCACACAGTGTTCGAATACCCATCCCTCCACATCCCTCCACCAGTGTCCGTATCTCACCATGTTTTTTTTGGGGGGGTCACACCCAGCAATGCTCAGGGGTTACTCCTGGCTTTGCACTCGGGAATCACTCCTGGCGGTGCTTGGAGGACCATATGGGATGCCAGGAATCGAACCCAGGTCGGCTGCAGGCAAGGCAAATACCTTATCTGCTCCAGTCCCACGTCTCCCACCATCAGTGACCTCAGTTTCACTCCCACCACCCCCCACCCAGCCCCAGCCTGCCTCTATGGCAGCCACTTTCTCTTTCTCCCTCTCTCTCCCTTCCCCTCCCCCTTCATCCTCCTTTCCCTCGCTCTGTCCCTCCCTCCACCCCTCCTTCATCTCCCTTCCTCCTTTCCCCCTCCCTTTCTCTCTCTCTCTCTCCCTCCTCCTCTCCTTCTGGGCACTATGGTTAAATCAACATTTTTTTTTGGTTTTGGGGTCACACCTGGCGATGCTCAGGGGTTCCTCCTGGCTCTGCACTCAGGAGTCACTCCTGGCGGTGCTTGGGGGACCCTATGGGATGCTGGGAATCGAACCCTGGTCGGTCACGTGCAAGGCAGACGCCCTATCCGCTGTGCTATCGCTTCGGCCTCTAGTTAAATTATTTTATTTAAATGTTATTTGCTGGGTTTGGGGCCCACAGCCAGCGGCACTCGGGTGACTGTGGGCAGGGCTTGAAGCCCCGGGCATTGCCAGAACCAAGCTGGCTCCGCATTCCCCTCTGGGCTCTTTCTGGCTCATGCACCATGTTATGAAGGCACAGGGCTGAACGGGGACTCAGCCAGGGCGGCCCACAGAGTCACATGCACCTGCCGGGATGGCCAGTGGAAAGCCCCCTCAGGGTCCAGACCCTCACCCACCGCCGTCTCCTGGGGGGGACCCATCTCGCTACCCTGCGTCTTCCCTGAGCCCAAGTGGACCAGAGGCTACAGGACTGTTTCCACAAGGCAGCCAACCCGGGAGCAGAGAGAGCACCGTGAGTCCAGGCAGAGGGCGCTCGCCCTGCACACCTGCACCCTGATCTTGAGAGCCATGCTGGCGATGAGTGAGAGGCAAGGGGTCCTGCACACCGTCACCCAGGTTCCATCCTTGGCATCCCCTAGCCCGCCCCAGCACTGGCGGGGGGGGGAGGGGTGATTCCTGAGTGCAGAGCCAGGAGTGACCCCTGAGCATTGCTGGGTGTGACCCTACCCAAAATAATAAATAAAGGATTATTAATAAATAATAAAGGTTTTGTAGACTAGATGCTCTTGGCTCAGCACAGTCGTGTGTGTGTGTGTGTGTGTGTGTGTGTTTGGATGTTCTGCAGTCCTGGCTCAACATTCTTGATTCAGCACAGCCCTGGTTCTATCCCCGACATCCTACAGGGTCCCCGAGCACTGCTGGGAGTGATTCCTGAGTGCAGAGCCGGGAGCGACCCCTGAGCACTGTTGGGTGTGACCGCACCCAAAATAATAAAGGATTATTTTTTTGGTTTTACACGTTAGACACTATCGGTTCAGCACAACCCCGTGTGTGTGTGTGTGTGTGTGTGTGTGTGTGTGTGTCTGCCTCAATGCTCTGTGGTCCCAGGACCTTCTCTGTCTCCTCTCACTGGTTGCTGCTCATATTGGAGTGGGCGGAGGCTTCAGCCTCTTCCAGGCCCGACAAGGGGCCTGGTGGGGAGGCAGCGGTGCAGGCTGGGGACCGGAAGCCACCCTGGGCAGCGGCGGGAGAGGGCAGACCAGAGCCTGCCTGCAAAACCGCGGCAGGAGGACGCACCTGCTCTCCAGGATGGCCTGCTCCACGCATGACGCCTTGTCCTGCAGCTCCAGGGACTGCTGGCTGACGGCCGACAGGAACTTGAGCACCAGCTTGGTACACTCGGTCTTGCCCGCGCCGCTCTCGCCGCTGGAAGACAGAGCGCAGGGGGGCTCAAGTGATGGACGCCTCCGTGACGCCTCTCCAGGCCCAGGGTCCCCCACGAGCCAGCTGCACGGGGACCCCTTGCCCCCCACTCATCGCCAGCATGGCTCTCAGGATCAGGGTGCAGGAAGCTGGCCACAGTCTCTCTCTTTCTCTCTCTCTCTCTCTCTCTCTCTCTCTCTCTCTCTCTCTCTCTCACACACACACACACACACACACACACACACACACACACACACATACACAGCCCAGGTAAGCGGGGCAAGGGTCTGCTCTCTGCTGACCACGCGGTTCCTGGGTGTCCTGACCCCCCCCGCTCTGGACACGGGAGGGAGCGGAACTGCTGAGCTGGGCGTTGTGATGTAGGGACCCGGCAAAGGGCCATGGGAGGAATGAGCAGGGACAGGGCGGTGTGGCCAGGCTGGCAGGGCACTCACGCATGGCTCCCACGAGAGGAGAGAGCAGGGGCCGGGGGGGTTTCCCCACCCCAACATTCCACCCCCACAGTCCTGGGAGGGAAGGCCGCGTCTGGGTGGGCCCTGAACCCCACAGAGACCAGGTTTCAGGAGGGAAGATGCCAGAGACCAGCACGGAGGGAAGATGCCAGGGAGAGCAGGTCTGGGCTCGAGGACCAGCGGGCACCAGCCGTAGGTGCAACGCGGGGCTGAAGACAGAGAGAAATGACAGGGGAGTCCCGGGTCCTGCAGGGGTCCTCCAGGTGGGCTGGGCACATGTGAGGAGAGGAGGAAGGAAGGAGGATGGGAGACGGAGCTGGGGATCCAGGGGTGCCCTTCATAGGACAGGCTCCGGGAGGCCGGCGGCCCTCGGACAGGGGTAGTGGCGACCCCCGAGGTCTGGGGATGGGGAGGAAGGTCTGGAGAAGGAGACACTCACAGCTGGGGTGAGACCTGATCTCTCTCTCTCTCTCTCTCTCTCTCTCTCTCTCTCTCTTCTCTCTCCCCACCCCCTTGTTTTGGGGCCACACCCAACCATGCTCAAGGCTTACTTCTGGCTCTACACTCCGGGATCACTACTGGCGGCTCAGGGGACCCTATGGGATGCTGGGGCTTGAACCCAGGCCAGCCACATGCCCGGCACACGCCCTCCCCGCTGCACCATCTCCAGCCCTGGCCCCATGCGCGGTCCTCGAGGAGGAGAGATGGGAAACGCAGGTGCAAACGCGGGATGGCTCGTCCGGAGCCACTGTCCAGGCCGGAAGGCCGCCCACGGAAACGTGTGCAGGGTGGGCTGGGCAGGCAGAGGGCAGAAGGCGAGAGCGGGAGAGACGCGGGTCTGGACGGCCCGAGGTGCGGGGACACATTCGGGGCCTCACAGGCGAGAACTGAGCTCGCCGAGGATGGGCCAACGAGGACACGCGTAAGGGTCCCTCAAGGGGCCGGACCTGAGCCGTGCAGAGGGCTCCCTGGGGAATGAGGGCAAGCACAGCCCGGGCAGGAGCCACCTCATGCCTCTGAGAAGCCTGGAACTGACCCTAACCCTGACCCTGACCCTAACCCCTGACCCCTAAACATAACCCTAAGGTTTAACCCTGACTCTGACCCCAAACCCTGACACTAACCCTAACCCCTAATTCTAAACCCTAACACTAACCATAAACCCTAACTCTAATCTCTAAACCCTAACCCTAAACCCCAACCTGAATCCTAAACCCTAACCCTAACTCTGACCCTAACCCTGACCCTAACCCCAAACCCTAAAACTAACCCTAACTATAAACCCTAACCCTAACTGTAAACCCTAACCCCAATTCTAAACCCTAACCCCAAACCCTAACCCTAACTCTAAACCCTAAACTGAACCCTGATCCTGACCCAAACCCTAAACCCTAACCCCAAACCTGACCAAATCCTAATCCTAACCCTGATCCTGACCCTAACACTAACCCAAACCTAACCCTGACCCCTAACCTTAACCCTAAAGTCTTAACCCTGACCCTGACCCCAAACACTGACACTAACCCTAAACCCTAACCCTAACCCCCAACCCTAATCCTAAACCCTAACCCTAATTCTAACTCTAAACCCTAACCCTAAACTCTAACCCTAATTCTAACTCTAAACCCTAACCCTAAACCCTAACCCTAACTCTGACCTAACCTGAACCCTGACCCTAACCCGAACCCTAAACCCTAACCCCAAGCCTGACCAAACCCTAATCCTAACCCTGACCCTGACCCTAACCCAACCCTAACCCTTACCCTAACCCCTGACCCCTAAAGATAACCCTAAAGTCTTAACGCTGACCCTGACCCTAACCCCAAACACTGACACTAACCCTAAACCCTAACACTAACCACAAACCCTAACTCTAAACCCTAACCCTAAAACTTACCCTAACCCTGACCCTAACCCAAATCCTAAACGCTAACCCTGACCCTGACCATAACCCTAACTCTGACCCTAATCCCAAACCCTAAAAATTACCCAAACTGTAAACTCTAACCCTAACTATAAACCCTAACCCTAAACACTAACCCGAACCCTAAACCCTAACTCTGACCCTAACCTGAACCCTGACCCTAACCCGAACCCTAAACCCTAACCCAAACCTGACCAAACCCTAATCCTGACCCTGACCCTAAACCCTAACCCAGAGCAAACCCGAACCCAAACCCCAAACCCTAACCCAAACCCTGACCCTAACCCAAGCTCTAACCCCTAACCCTAACCCCGACCTAATCCTGACCAAACCCTAACCCCCAACCCTAAACCTATTTTCATCCCGGCAGGTTTTCCTGCTACCTGCACGCAGAGCCCTCAGCCTTCTTTGTCAGGGTATTATTTCTGGGGGCCTGGGGAAACCATCATCACAGATTTTTCTGACTTTTATGGTGCCAAGTACATAAAAGACCCCGAAGAGGGAGACGCAGGAGAGAAACGCCCTTGCCGCGGCAGGAGGAGCGTCTGTGGAATGAGAGGGTCACGTCCCCAATACTAACGGGCCCCTTTCGTGGGCGGGTGTCACCCCGACGCACATCCACCTCCAGCATGACTCTGCGACAGAGATAGGGACCCCCAGAGCACGGATGCTGCAGACGTTCCCCGCCCGGGGTCTCCTCCTGACCTCAGAGCCCCAGAGTGGGGTCTCCCCAGCCCACCTCCCTGTTTGCAAGAACCGGCTCTGGGCTGATGGAGACAGAGCCACCGCTCCTGGGGACCCCAGAGGTTGGGGTGTTAGAATCTCATCCCGGTTTGAGGGCTGCCCCATCTCCTGAGTCCTCTTCCTGAACGCACGAATCCCGGCCCGCGGGACTGTCTGTTCTCTCTTGGCTGTGTCTGTTCTGCAGGTGCCGAGGCAGGCCCTGGGGCGCCTGCACCCTGTGCGGCGTGGAAGGAGGTGGGGTCTGGCAGGGGCCCCTTCTGCATAGCTTTACGCATCACGTGGGGTTCGCCTTCGGCCCAAATTTCTCAAGGGGAAGTAAAGTCACTTGGGTGGGGGTGGGAGCGTGTGGAAAGAAAGGAGAGCTGCTGACATGATGGGCATGGAAACCATCCCACAGGACACATTACACGGCACACACATGCACATGCAGCTCCCTGGAGGCACGTGACGGGTGTGGGAAGCAGGCGCCCGCAAAGGACGGCTCTACGACGCTTCCCGCTCTGCCTCACCCGCCACTGCCAAGCCCGAGGGGCCTTCAGGACAGATGCTCTGTGTTCCCAAGCTCTCACATCCTGGCACGCCAACAATCCACGTCATCACTCAGCAGCTAAGTGAAAGTGAACTCAACCAAACACACGGTGAAACCCGTTAACATCCAGCCGAACCCGACTCACGCGGCCCACGGCGGATGGACGGACAGCGCTTTGCTCTGGCCTCGAAGTCTGGGGTCGCAGCCTCCCCTAAGGGAGGGGGTGGGTGACTCACACTGACCCCGCCCCGGAACCTGCATTCCAGCCCCTGGACAGCCGTGACTCAGGCAGCAATGACCCAGCAAACACAGCTGAATCGGCCGCGGGCACTCGGCGCCCAGTGCTGGCCAAGGCTGAGACAGAGGTAGCACTGTCAGAATCACCAGCGGCGGTGGACACTGGCAGCTCAGCCCCAGCCCAGTGACGGATGGGGTGCTGTGGGGAGCTGGCCGAGAGTCACGAGGCCGCTCGTCAACAGGAGAGTCACGAAAGAGACTCCAAGTTCCAGCACCAGCTGTCTCAGGAACAGACAGAGGGAGAGTCGTGGGGCAAAGGAGACGGGGAGAGGTGGCAGAGACAGGGACACAGAGGTCCATCACCCGGCCGGAACTCAGTCAGCCAGGCAGTGGTTGCCAGGTGTGACCTGGGTACAAGGCGAGGAGAGGGGCTGCCTAAGGGCACACTGCCCGGCCCTCCCAGCCTCTGCAGACGCGGGACCAGAAATGGGACAGTGTCTCCATTTCCCTGATTCTTGGTTTCCCCCAATCCATCTATCTCATCACTCGCTAGCACACCCAGAGGGGAACCCGGCACGGGAGAGGCTGTCAGACCCCTGGGCTGTCTCGCACATCTAAGGTGGCTAGGGAAACCACCCCACAAACGCAGCAAATGCCTCTGGCAGCTCTGACGCACACACATATGCACACATGCTCATTGACACACAAACATGCATGTACACACACATGCACGCATGCACACACACGCCCATGTGCGCACACACACGCGCGTACACGTACACACACACACAGAGTCTTTCTCAGCGTCTCAAGTCCCCGAGCATCCCCACAGCCTTGCAGCGAGGCAGGGCTGCGGGTCCCCAGGGAGACCACGGCCCGACCGTCTGTGTCCTCCTCCCCCCTGCGCCCTCCACCTCCTGAGCCATCTCCCTCTGTCTGACCTTCCGTCGCGGAACCATTTCTGGAGTCTTAGTCACCCATCGTCTTCTTGAACGAGCTCTGCGGAGCTTGTTACAGGAACCACCCACCAGGCTGCCCGAGCTTGCCCACCCGCATCTCTTGCTTCCTGGAGGGAACGGGGCGACGGAGCACATTTTTTCCTGTTTTCATTTGATTTGGGGCAGGACCTCCCAAATGATGCTCAAAAGGCCGGGGGGGGGGGGGCGGGGGAGAGGGCTTCCACTGGCGATCTGATCTCAGCTGACCTGGTCAGTCATTCAGTGCAAGGGCCCAAGGATGTTGGGGGCACAAGGGTACCCCAGTGGTGCTATTGGGGAGGCTTCCAGGATGGGCTCACCCTAGCACATACCCTAACCACTGTACTATCCTTCCGGTCCCTTGCCTTTTCCCCTCATCCTCAAGCCTAGCAAGGGAACTGGTCATGTTTCATGAGCTCCAGACGGACCCCTAGAAACAGCAAAGACCAAACCCCCAATTATTCCAGAATGAACGGGACCCCTGAAGGAGTCATTCCACGGGAGAAAGAAACGTCCTCCCCCACGTGGTCCTCGGGCCACACTTTGATTGGCGGTTGTTGAGGGTTCTTCTCTCCCAGATGCTCAGAGATGGATGGACCACGGGGTCAAGCCCGCACTGCGTGTGTATCTTTAAAGGTCACACACACACCGAGAAGGCCATGATGAATGAAATGCTGCCTGCCGGTGTAATAAAGACCGAAATTGGTGCAAAATGCACAATGAACTTTCCAACGTCAGCCTTAACTACTAATAAAAAATTGGAAACGAATATATCTATATCTCAAAAAACAATAGCAAAGCATTCACTTCAATGCGCATTAAAAAAGTAAAGCAAAAAGTAGAACTTCTGCAAGGCAACCACCATGAAGATGAGACTAATAAGAGGCCTGGAGCAGAATCCAGGGCGTTGCAGATCGGGGGGTCCTCGGCCAGATGAAAGGAACTCATGAAAAGAGAGGAAACACGTCTCCCTTTAAATGAGCTATTCTTTCTGGTTTGGAGGGGCAGAGCAGGAGAGAATCTTCGGGCAGCAGCAAAACGCAGCATGGCCACCGGGGGGCAGACCTCGCCTAGAAAACCATGGATACAACTCTCGCACCCCACAATTTTTATTTTTTATACTCCATCTTTCATTTCCCACAGTTCCAACCCTTCCTTAAAGAATGCAAGCTGTTGAAGAGGTCTGTTGAAACCCCAAACACACTTTAATGAGAAGCCTATTCTTCAAGACTTCGTTTCCTGAGCTAAATAGTCCTTCTTTTAACAACATCAGCACTACACAACGGGAATACGCTGTGTCTCTGCCGCCCCCTCCCCGCCACAACCCAGAGTTTTTAAATCTCTGTCTTTGTTTGAGCATGTCACCCCCTTTCTATTTTATTTCACGTACGTGCTTGTGTGTGCACGCGCAAAACACACACACACAACACGCGCGTGCGTGCGTACACACACACACACACACACACACACACGCATACATACACCATGATCTCATTTGATTTTTCACTTTCTTTCTAGGCTGCTCTTTCCAGTAAGTGAGAGACGAATCAGGCTCTCACTTTTCCCAGTGCCATGACGGCAATAAGCCCAACTATCGAGGTACCCAAACGTGGAAAGCAACTCAGTTTTTTCTTTGAAAAAACAAATGGGTGAAGATTTTTGGGACCAGAGATATTGCAGCAGGTAAGGCATTTGCCTTGCACACAGCTGACCAGGGTTCGATCCCCGGCACCAACGATGATCCCCGATGAGCCCAGCCAGGAGTGATCTCTGAGTGCAGAGCCGGGAAATAAGCCCTGAGCATGGTTGGGTGCACACCCCCGCCCCCCAAATAAAAGAGGCGACTTTTTTCTCTTTCTATGCACTCAACTTTGCCATCTGTGATCTTCAGTTTTGACCTTTAACTTCAGGGAACTTTCCCACCAACCAGCGACCGGGCTTCCGGTCCCAGGCCAACGACTTGACTGAGAACACGACTCTTAAAAGCGATTTTCTGGGGGCTGGAGAAATGACTCCAAAGTTTGGAGCAGCTGCTCTGCACCCCAGGGGCCCTGAGGACATCAGGTGAGACCCCCAAATAAGCAGGAATAGCCCCTAGCACTACCGGCCCCAGAAGCAAACTTCTCCCTCCCTTCCTTTCCTTCCTTCCTTCTCTCTTCCCTTACTTCCTTCAATTTTATTGATTTACTTTGGCTTTTTGGGTCACACCCAGAGATGCTCAGGGTGTGAGCACTCCTGGCTCTGCACTCTGGACTCTCTCCTGGCAGTGCTCAGGGGGGTCCTATGGGATGCCAGGGGTCAAACTCGGGTTGGCGGCATGCAAGGCAAACGCCCTCCCTGCTGGACGATGGCCCTGGCCCCAAATCTTCTTTCTCCACATCTGTGTTTGTCCAGAGCAAGGTCCTCTCGGCTCGGCGGGTGGCCGTGCTTTCCGGTCTCTCAGCAGAACCAAACCCAGGGGTGCTCACGGCTGGTGCGGGAGCTCTGGGCCCTCCCTGCAGGCAGAGGCAGGAGGAGGGAAGAGAAGGACGAGCACTGCCCGGGGGCCCATCTAGGGGGCACGCAGGCGCCTGTGCAGGAAACAAACCAACCTCCAGGGCCCTCACGCTGGCAAAAGCAAGGATGATGTTGCCCCAAGGACAGGGCAGAGCTGCAAGTGCTGGGGACCCTCTGAGCCCCCTCCCCTCAGCCCTCAGCCCCCCGCAGAGGGCACCGGCTTGTGGGTTCTTCTGCCACCCCCCAGGAAGAGCCTCTTGGGAGGACCTTCACCCTCTGGGGGACGTTCCCACAGGGATCACAGCACCCACCCTGGCTGCGACGGTGCATGCGTCTGTCTGTCTTTCTGCCTGCCTGTCGGTCTCCCGGCCCGCGGAGTCAGGCTGACACACCCCTGTTTCCAGAGACCAGGAAGGAACCCAGATGGGAGAGGGTGCTGCTGTCCCCGGAGTCCAAATGCTCCTTCCGTCCCTGTCCTGTGGGGGAGCCCAGTGATTCTGCCCCAAGCTTGGACAGATGCCGGGACATCCTCCTGCAGGCAGGGGCAGGGGCAGGGCTGGGTGGGCGGGTGCAGGAGAGGGAGGGAGAGGGGAGGTTGAAGGAGAGAGGAGGGAGGAGGGGGATGGGAGGAGGAGAATATGGAGGGAATGGGAGAAGGGGATGGAGGGAGGAGGAAGGAAGGGATGGGAGGAGGAGGCTGATGGTGGGAAGAGGGAGGGGGAGGATGGGTAGGGTGAGAGAGGGAGGAGGGAGGGTGATGGAGAAAGGAGGGAGCAGGAGGACTAGAGCAGGAGGTGGGTGCTGGAGGGAGGGAGGTGGGGTGCTCAGGGAAGCCCTCTGGACTGTCACACTCGGCAGACAGGCTCAAGGCACCCTTCCGGGAGGCCTGGATTCTTAGGGACACGGAATCCGAAGAACCTCAGAACAGTCACTGTGTAGATAGAGTCCTCTAGAGACAGTCAGGACCAGGACCCTTGGAACAATCACCGAGGTCGCACTCGGAGCCCCGGGAAACTGATCTGAAACCAGCAATGCAGTCAGAGTCACCTTCAAGGGGACGGAGTGATAGCAGAGCAGGGAGGGCGTTTGCCTTGCAAACGTTTGGCCAACCCGGTTTGACCCCCGGCATCCCACAGGGATGACTCAGGGTTCCCCTGAGTAATTCCTGAGTGCAGAGCCAGGAGGAAGCCCCGAGCATCACGGCGTGGGACCCAATAAGCCAAAAGAGAGAGAGAGAAAAAAAGAACCACCACCAAGAGCAGCAGTTCTGGGGAGTGAGTCTTGGCAGGGGTCCTCTGGGCTCCTGGTGGGAGAAGCACGACCCCGCCCTCCCTCTCCCCTGCCCCGGCCCTCCCCCCTCCCTCCCTCCTTTCTTCCTCCTTGTCTTTCTCACTTTCTGGTTCCGGTGCTCAGGCCGACTCCTGACCCAGTGCTCGGGGGTCCCTCTGGGGCCGGGATCGAGCCCGGAGCGCCCCTCTCCCCGGCCCCGACAGGCCTGGTGTCCGCCTCCCCCCGCCCGGTCCTGGCGGTTCCCCCCGGCAGGTACCTGATGAGCACGCACTGGCTGTCACGCCGCCGCCACAGGCAGCGGTAGCTCTCGTTGGCGATGGCGAAGATGTGTGGGGGCAGCTCGCCCAGGTGGCTCTGGCTGTAGCGGTGCATGGTGCTGGGCTCGTACAGCCCCCCGATGGGCTTGTAGGGGTTCACCGAGGCGATGATGGAGCCGATGTAGGTCTGCGGAGAGAGGGACGCGGGTCACCCCTGGGTCACCCACCCATCCGCGAGGGACCCGCCCAGGGGGCTTCTGAGTGAGGCGCCACGCCCCGCGGCCCCCCACCTGCCCAGCCCACGGGCACCTCCCCGCCCGGTGCTCGTTGCGGGTTGGCGGAAAGGATGCTCCGGGCAGGGGAGCGGCCTTTGTAAGGGGCACCTGGAGCTCGGAGCCGGAAGGGACACGGAACACTGAGGAGGGGCTGACAGGGAGAGAGGGAGAGGGAGAAGGAGAGGGAGAGAGGAGGGAGAAAGGGAGAGAGAGGGAGAGAAAGAGAGAAAAGAGAGGGAGAGAGATGGACAGAGAAAAGAGGGAGAAAGAAAAAAGAGAGAGGGAGAGAATTAGAGAGAGGGAGGGAGGAAAGAGAGAGGGAGAGAGGGAGAAGGATAGAAAAAAGAGAAAGAAGACAAAAAGAGAAGGGAAAGAAAGGTTAGCCAGGGAAGCGTGTGTGTCTGTCCAGACGCACTCGTATCGAACACTGAGAACATTCTAGAAGCAGGGAGAGGTGCCAACTGTGCACGAGTGCCTCGCTGGTACCTCTCCCTGCTTCTAGAATGTTCTCAATGTGCACGAATGCCTCGCTGGCACCCTGATCTCAAGGAGCAGACTGTGGTCGGTCATGCTTTGTGACGACCACAGTCCCGTGTGGGACCCCAGCACTCCAGGAACGGGAAGGAACCCCCACGCGGCAGGGCGAACCCAGGCTGCGGGCCGCTGGCCACTGTCTGAACGCGTAGCAGGGCGGGCGCAGGCGAGAGCGTGAGGCCAGGCAGGGGGACCCCGTCGAGGATGAAACGTGTGTGGGTGAAGCTCCCCGTGGCCGAGACTCTGGCACAGCCCTGTCTAATAGGAACCCTAAGGTCCCGGCTTTGGGCATCAGGGAAGCCCTGGTTTTACCGTCTTTCTTTATTCATAGGGGACAAACCCTGTGAATGGGTTTGAGTCTGTGCACGTGTGTGTGTGTGTGGGGGGGGATCAGAGCTGTAACGGGGCGGGGGACCCTGCCGTGGGGGTGGGGGTCAAGCCAGTGCCTCACACCTGCCACCTCCCGCCCAAGACACAGGTCCAGCCCACGGGGGGAGGGGGAGGGGAGTTTCTCAGATGAGGAAACTGAGGCAGAGTGCAGGGGCCACACACGGCCAGTGCGTGGGGGGCGGTGAAGCGGCACCGTGACCCGGAACCTTCTCTCTCTCCTCACGCCTGCCGACAGGGCACAGCTCTGCAGCAGAGCGGACCCGAGAGGCAGGACCCCCAGACAGAGCGAACTCCCAGCCCCACATCTGTGCCCGATTACAGCAGGGCTCGCCGTCTCTGCCCACCACGGCTGCCAGGAACACAGATGCCCCGTGAAACCGTTTGCAAATGGAAGGTGGTCGGTGCTTGGAAAGGTCTGGAAGCCAGAAGAGATCGAAAACAAACAAACAAACAAACAAAAAAAACCCCAAAACAGCGTGAGGCAAAAACCTGCTCTCCCAAGCCCAGAGGCCTGAGGAATCACAGACAGGTGCTCGGCACGCACGCTCCTGAGACCCCCGAGGTGGGCCGAGAGGGAGAGAGGGGCCCACACAATGTGGGGGGTAGTGGTGGCCCTGTCCTGGCCCCCTGCCCCGCCCCACGTCACGCTAAGTCACAGATGCAGTTCTAGGCAGCCCCGGGGCACAGAGGGCCATGGAAGAGGGTCTGGGGTGGCGGACGGTGGTGTGTCCAGCTGAGAGGACCACAGGCCGTGAGTCTGGGTGGGTGACGTCGTTCTGCAACAGGACAGAGCGCTGGCGCAGGGCTTTGGACCGGGCCACATGCCAGGGGTGGCAGACTTTAAAAAGTGGCCCGTTACCTGTCAAGGGAAGGTCGTGCCAGTTCGAAGAGGCCCGCAGGCCCCGGATTCCCCACGAACGCTTCCCCAGCCGAGACTGTGGGAGATCCAGGCTGAGAGAGGGAAGCCGCCTTAGCTCTGGCCCCCAGCGGAAAATAAACAGTGATGATCGCGACTGAAACCACCTGAGCGGGCCACCCCGTCTCCCATCAGAAGGAGAACAGAGAAGTACCAGGTCCTGAAGCAGCCCTGAGGATTTAACCACAGCCCTTCTAGGGCCTTCTGGAGACTTCTAGAGCGTTCTAGGGCCTTCCAGAGCTTTCTAGAACCTTCCAGAGCCTTCTTTTTATGTCCACAGGCCATCCAGGAGGCCCAACTGTCACACACTTCTGTCCTTCCGTCTGGTCCTCCGAGGGTTTCCCAGGAGGCGCTGGTGAGTTCCTCCCGGGCATTCTCGGTAAGCAGGACATAGGCTAATACGAAGGTCCGAGGGTATGGCGCTGCCTGGACCCGGCGGTGCCAGGACTAACCCAGGCCACCTGGGCCTGGGAGTCTCCAGGGTGACCTCTGTGGTGCTCAGGGGTCACACCCTTTGGTGTGTGGGGGCCAAGTAGTGCCATGCATTGAGCCTGGGCCAAGCTCATGCAGGGTAAGAGCCGTCTACCCACCCGCCGCTGTTTCCGTCTTTCTGGTAGCTATGAACCTTATCATTGCCTTTACTCTGTGAAGTGTCAGGGGGTCCTTTTCTGGGTCCTCCTTCATAGAGCAGGGCTGGGGCAGGGACACCTGCCACGCTCTTCCCCAGAGAAGCACCGACCAGGGAAATCCGTGAAGTGAAACCCCACCAGCATGGGAACGTCAAACCCTCGCAAAGGCATGCATCCCTAAGAAACATAATCGCAACGGAATACTATGCAGCTTTTAGAAAAGATGAAGTCATGAAATTTGCATATATGTGGATGGACATGGAGAGCGTCATGCTAAGTGAAATGAGTCAGAGAGAGAGAGAGAGAGAGAGAGAGAGAGAGAGAGAGAGAGAGAGTCAGACAGAGAATGACTGCACTCATTTGTGGAATATAAAGTAACATCACAGGAGACTAACACCCAAGAATAATAGAGATCAGGGCCAGGAGGGACAATTCACGGCTTGGAAGCCGGCCTCATATGCTGGGGGGAAAGGTGGCCGAGATGGAAAGGGGACCACCAAATAAAGGATGTTGGGGAGGGCCCGCTCAGGACGGGAGATGTGTGCTGAAAGTAGACTATGGACTGAACACGATGGCCACTTAGTACCTGTACTGCAAACCACAACACCCAAAAGGAGAGAGAGTCAAGAGGGAATGTGCCGGCCAGAGGCAGGGGTCAGGAGGTGGGGAGGAGATCAGAGGGGAGGGTGGCAGGAGGGATACTGGGCACACTGGTGGTAGAGAATGGGCACTGGTGGAGGGATAGGTACTCGATCACTGTATGACTGAAACACAAACACGAAAGTGTGTAAATCTGTATCTCACAGTGATTCATTAAAAAAAAAAAAAAAGAAAGCAACATGATCAGACTCCAGGCTGAGACTCTGCGTGGGCCACTCAGAACCAGGGTGCTCGGAACCAGGGCGAACAGCCAGGCCATTCTGAGAGGAGCTCTGCTTTCCAAGCATTCACTTATCCGGGGAAAGCACCTTATAAACTTATAAAATGTGTCCTCTTTCTGAGCAAAGGTTTCTGGTACACGATTTGCATGTGGGAGTTCCAGCTCCATCCCAATGGCACACAAGATCCCCTGAGGACCGGCTGGAGGTGGGGGGAGGGGAGTTGGTCCCCACAAAAGAAAATAAAAGAGCGATGACCTCCATGGAAACCCCCTGAGGTGCCGCCCCTCCCTGGGGGTCCCGCATTCCCGAGACTTGCCACTGCCCACAGAGCATGGGTGCTTCGGGGGTGGCCCTCTGAGGCGAGGTGGTGGGTGGTCCTTGCAGTGTCAGTTACCGTGAGTCACTGAAGACCTCGGCTTTAGGGGTGTTGACCCCACAACTCAAACCGTCACAAACCCACGTTTTCTAACTTCAGCTTTTGCCAACCTTCACGACTGATGGCCGCGGTTGACCAGATGCCCCACCAATGCCACACTGCTGAGGGCTGACGTGTTTGGGAGGGGCTGCTGGCTTAGTCCACCCTCACTGGCGATTCAGTGTGGGCACCAGCAGCATGACACTCATCACAGAGGCTGGGGATACCGGCATAGCCAGCAAGGCAATTGGTTTGCAGGTGGCCAATTCGGGTTTGATCCCCGGCACCCCGCAATGCCCTCGAGCCCCTCCAGGAGTGATCCTTGAGCACAGATGCCTATGGCCCCACCCATAGAAGAGACTCATTAAGGCGGCAGGGGAGATGAGCCCAAGGGTCACCTCTGGCAACTGCTCCACATGCCAGAGCCCTGGGTTCGATCCCAGCACCATATGGCAGCCCCTGAAGTGACCCCCGAGCCCTGAGCCTGGAGTAGCCCAAGTACATGACGACACTGGGTGCAGCCCCCAAAGTAGGATGAGAGAACCTCAAACATAAAGAAAATAAGGATCAAGTCAAGTCACAGGAGGAGCCAGGAGATGACTTGGGGGTGCATGAGCTCTGCAGAGCCGTGGTTTGAGTCCCGTGAGCATCACTGGGAGTCACTCCCCAAGACCATGTTGAGGAAGAGAAGGTTCCGTTTCCATATCTGCTGGAAAAACCCAGGAAGGGGTGGACACACGCAAGTCAAACCCCTTTCGGGGAGCTGGCGGGAAGGAAGAGTGGAGTTGGTCCTACTTTTGTGTTTTTATTGATGGGGGTGCCTCTCTGGGGGTGCGGGGTGGGAGAGGGGTACCAAGGGCAGTGTGGGGTCCCTCTTGTGGCAGTTGGTGCCGTCTCCCTGCCCATCAGCTGCAGTTCAGGGTTCCAGAGGAATGGGCTCCTGACACCTCATGGAATCACTATCACTCCTGGCGGTGCTCCAGGGACCTTAAAGGATGCTGGGGAGATTGAACCCAGGTCGGCCGCGTGCAAGGCTAACGCACTCCCTGCTGTCCTAGCATCTTTGGAAACCCCACTCCAACCCCCACCCCACCCCCACCCCCCTACCCTAACTCACTACTCTAACTCAGCCCTGCTGAGCGCTCCC